CTACCTATTTGGTTTCCACACTTGGTTGTAATACAGCTAATATCAGTTACCATTCCCGTGTAGTCTCTCTTTCATTTAGGGAAATAAATACGCAGGTAAGGTCCTACGGACTGTCTACTAGTTGACAAAAATTGATAATATGATAATTTAAAAGATACTGACGATGGAGTCTCATAGCACATTTTCCTAATTAAATTCTTTTCTTGAAACGATCATTTGCATTCGATCTGTTAAATATTTACAGTGTAATTTAGTTAGAATGAGTCACTCAAGCCAAACCATCAATTGTGTGTTTATTCATTTTAAGATGGAATTAAATTGAACTTAAGCTAAAATTTAAATCCTCGTCAGAGCAGTATTGCTTACTCACTTTTACTATTTCTTTTCAACGAACATGTACACTTGTGAGATTTTAACCGTACAGAAATTAATCTTTGACTTTAACTCATTTTATGTATGCTTATGAGATTTCAACGAAACAAAAATTAATATCTGACTTTAACTCATTTTATAAATGATTTATAAATTTATATACAAGGGATGCTTAAAAGAAAAACTCAGTCCGAAAATGAGACGCAATTATCATTAAAAGTTATAAGTTGTATAAGAGGTTGAGAAAACATTTGGATGTGAGACAGGGCAGAACAGAAAACAAGTTTTTCTCTTAATTTCATTCTATTTGGTTAACACTACGTTTATGAAAATATTATTATATCAGTATTATTTCCACGTTTCCTGTATTATGTTAAGAAATAAATACTTATCACAAATATAATTAATAGTTCCAGTTTGTTTTTAGCTAAAAATTTGATTTTTAGTAATCATAAAAGTTGATATAATGTGTGAATGAAAGTTGATAAAGTATGTGAGTACCAAGAAATGGGTGAATAAAATTAATTGTTGATTTTAACTTACATTTTAATCAAAATTTTTAAATAAACCAAATAGATGCTATATACTGACGTGACATATATTATTTAATAGTCAAATCTATTTGACTCGAAAATGTCTCCTCCCACCTTTCTTTAATTGGGAAATAGACACTCTTGAATTCACAAATATGGGAAGACGTTGAGATCACCAGAGGGAGCTAGATCAGATAAAGACCACGAGTCTATCAAGTACTAACTAGGTGTACATGATGAAACGAAATATGACTGGAGTACACGGAATTTAATTTTTGTTCTTGATTCTAAGATGGCGAACTTATTTTCCAACCTTGAATTTTCATTTAATTTTTAAATGACAAATCATGCCATCACTAGTTGGTTAAATTAAAAGATAAAAAAAGCTTGCTTGCATGCACATGGACTATATAACCACCACAAATTTCAGAAGAAGGAAACTCTAATGGTGCAGCGGTAAATTAAAGAGGGAAACAAGTTGAAAAAGTGAGGCTGGATGGGACTTTCCTTTTCAAAAGAAGAGTTAGCTGCATTGACATTTGGGACACGGTTTTACGGATGAGCAGATGGGCTCATTAAGATCCTTCCTACTGTCCACCTCAATATTAGGGTTTTGTACCATTATATAATCCCTGTTTCGGGTCCTAAATTCTCACTAATAAAGACAAAGATATAAATTTTACTTGCAAATTAAGATGACTTTCAAATTTCTTCTGGTGGTTCTTATTGGTGTTCTTGTTTGCACCACCACTGCAAGGAAACTTGTTGGCTCGATTGGTTCTTTCAGTGATTAAAAGAATTTCTTTCATCATCCGAGTTTGGGAGGCGGAGGGCTAGGTGGTGGAGGGTTAGGTGGAGGTGGAGGTGGATTGGGTGGAGGAGCTGGGGGTGGATTTGGTGGAGGAGCTGGGGGTGGAATAGGAGGTAGTGGATTTCCTTGAGTAATTGTTGTAAAATTTTGTTTCGCAAGTGTACGATCCGTAACAAGTAATAGTGGACCTAAGAGTCCGGTTATCGATCCCACGAGGACTATTTTGTAGCACTTAATTTAATCTTTCTTTAACTACTATTTGACGAATGTAAATCAAAAACAATGATTAAATGTGATTTTTACTCTAAAGACTTAAAATGTGATTGGATTCAATGAAAAGTGATTGAGAATTCAAACAATAAATGGACGTTAGGGCGGAACAATTTCACCTATTGGTCACCTCTACTTCATAAATCAAGATTCATAAAACCTAAGGTAGTGTTCGGTCGAATTCTTCTATTGTATTCAACTTACCCCTCTCGAGTTCTCATTGAGCCTACTTAATTAGTTTAATTCCATATCTCTATGTAAATTAAATTTAATTAAACGAAATATTGGTTCTAAGAATTCACACCTGACCGCAGCAATCAATATAGGTATCTCTACACATTATATCAATTTACCGGATTTTAACATGTGGTCTAAACAAATAATCCGCATCTCTACGCAATCAATGTTCACAAATCATCTAATTAGTGATCAAGTAATTAAATGTATTAAGAACAATATTAAAATCAACACATGAAATAAAAAAGTACTAGAATCTCAATTGCATGAAATAAAGGGTTCCAAAAGATTACATTGTTCGCCCTAACATAAAATTTAACTACTCATAATAATGGAAGAAAAATATGAGATTGTCTTAGAATACATCACCGAGTTTGAAATAAAGATGTGGAAGAAAAAATGGAATTCTTGCACCAAGATCTCCTTCCTCTTCCAATGAGTGCTTCCAATCTTCAATTCTTGGTGTTAATCTTCTTAAATTTCTCCCTTGAATCTCCCTTGTTGTTTTTCTCTCCAATATGTCCAGCCCCCCTCAAAAGTATGAGGAGGATGTATTTTCATGTGCCTGCCCGTTTTTCTGTTGAAGTAGGGTTTCTATGGCTTTAAAAAAAGGGCCCAAAAAAACGCGCCCTAAATCGCCAATCGCAGCGCCTAGGCGCTGGCTGTAGCGCCTGGGCGCTTGTCTTCAGCGCCTAGGCGCTGGTGGTAGCGCCTGGACGCTATGGTTGTAGCGCCTAGGCGCTGCCTCTCGGGTCCAATTTTCATCTTTTCTTCGTTTCGTAGCGCCTAGGCGCTATAAGTGTAGCGCCTAAGCGCCATCTTTCTGCCCCAATTCCGTGTTTTTGGCCTCTTCATCGACTTTAATACTTCTTTTCTCATTACTTCTCCTTATCTTCAAAACAACACTAACAAACACATCAAAAACGTTCTAAACTCATAAAATCTAGTATTTAATCAAGCTAAAAATGTGCGTAAACCATGAGTGAAACAAACTCATCAGTAATTAAAGAAATTTCATGACTCTTCTTCCCATTAATCCAAACCAGTGATAATTTTCATGGCTCAATAAAAAATAATGTGTAGAGCCAATTAAACTACTATAATGCAGATGTTTGATTTGTACTTAAAATTATTCAACAAATTAATGTAAGTTTCATTTGATTATGAGCCTCTTTCCTTTCCTCATGCTTTATTCTTCTAATTTTGTCACATATCTTAGATACAAAAAGTAACTCTTTTTTTACTTAGTGAACAATTCAATTTTATTTCAAGTGTTTTTAACTACTGAAACCTAAATCGAACTATTTATAAATGGTTTAGTTCATTTGGATTCAAAACTAAATTGTTGACGTGTTGACGTGGACTAAAACCATTATTTCAGTTGAACTTGACCTTTCAATATAGCCAAATTTAATGAGGGTTTTGTCTATATATTAATAAATTTGAAAAAAAAAGCTTCGTTTTTTCCTCACAATTTTTTGATATACATATTTATTTATTATCCTCGATTCAACCATTCAATCCTTGACCTTTTAATTTTCTAGGTCAATGGTTGAGCTAGTTTAAAAATATAGATGACAACAATTTAATTTGAATTTTTTGATTTGAAGAGAAGAAGGTGATATATAATTGGAATCGTTAATCCTACTCATAAATTTGACACACTTATTTGACAAAAAATCGTAACTTTTAATCTAAGTCCATTTAATGCTCAATATTTTATGGATTTCAAGTGGTTATAATAAATTCTTCCATGATCTCAATGAAATACATATTAAACGTTGGATTGATTTAAATTAAAGATCATGATTATTTATCAAATAAGTGTGTCAAATTTTTGATATCTTCCAAAGGAGAAAAATGAAAAAAAAAAAAAACCATATATAGTTATTTGTCTATCCATGTACAAAAGTATATAATTCTCCATGATAGGACACAATGATTTAATCAAAAATTCAAAAAGAATTTTGCGCATGCGAAACAAGGAAAAACTTTTCTGCTCAACTGCTCGCTCGAGCAAATAGCAAGGGGTACATTTCTTGTTCCTGTCCATGCGTGAGATATTTTTACTTGCCGATTCTCGTGCTGAGAATACCCATTAAGTAAAATCTCATTTTTCTCATTTACTTTTAGATCTCTCCAATACTTGAGTCGGGATTACTTAAAGTTTCCAAACAACACTTACCATCATCTCTCTGTTATAATTTGAGGAAAAAAATATGGATGCATGATGAACTATGGAAGGAAACAGGGAAAAAAATTGTTTGGATAGAAAATAACACATGAAAAGTGGAATAGAAATGTACATTACCATGTAGTTGTCAAATATTCAATATGATTTCACAAGATCTAGTTACGTTCAAGAAATGGATTCTAGATCTTCTAATCGATCTAGAGATTATTTAGATTCCGTTAATAATGAGGATTCAGAATACCAGAGAGATTCAACAACTAAAAGAAAGATCATTCTTTTTGATCCTTCCTATAAAATATTGCAATATAATAATGAATACAATCAGCTTCTCAAGTAGCCACCCCCCAGAAAGATAAGAGAACATATTTATAACCCACTAAGGAATACAAACGTTCACTAGTGCACCAATGAATCTACTGATGTACTAATGTAAAACCGTCAAGTTAATTAGATCTTCACTAACTCACATATTAATTCAAGCATTAAACTTCATTGCAAATAACTGATATTCGAGCATTATATAATCCTTTTTTCGTGTCCTAAATTCACATCAATCAAGTCTATCTTTTACTTGCAAATTGAGATGACTTCCAAATTCGTTCTCTTGGTTCTTCTTGGTGTTCTTCTTTGCACCACCACTGCGAGAAAGCTAGTTGGCACTGATGGTTCTTTCAATGATGAAAAATTCTTATTTGATCACTGGAATTTAGGAGGCGGCGGTGGCGGCGGAGGTGGTGGTGGAGGTGGAGGAATAGGGGGTGGTTCTGGTTTTGGAGAAGGATTTGGTGGTGGGTTTGGAGGTGGTGCTCAAGGAGGAGGAGGAGGTTTTGGGGGTGGAGGTGGTGGTGGAGGTGGGTTAGGCGGAGGATTTGGTAGTGGATTTGGATTTGGTGCAGGGTATGGTGGTGGAATAGGAGGTTGAGGAACCCTTAAGTGACTAAAGAATTTTTAGTTCCTTGCATTTCTGTTTCATACCTATGTTTGTGGCTCAATTAAAAATAAACTGATAGATTGCATTGATTTTGTAATCAAATTTATTCAAACATATTAATGTAAGCTTCCTCTGGTTGATTAATAAGCCTCTTTCTTTATCTCATGCTTTATTTCTTCCATGCAAATCTTAATGTGTTGTAAAGTTAAGATTGATTTGTTCTTATAATTTTGTCACAATTATAACAAGTAAGTTATAGATGCACATTTTAGAAATTTAAAATTGAATATTTTTAAAGTGAACAATTTATTCGAGCACTTTAATACCATATTCTAAGTGAATAAACTCGTCCAGTACTACTCCCAACTTAATAAGTCATATCCAACTCGATTCTAGTTCTCAATTCAGAATCAAATTTGACAAGCCCAGTATGCAATTGAGTTTGACTAGTGTCACAAAAGATATTTGGTGTTGTGATGAAAATTTTGGTATTTTATTTTCCTTTGGATTGGAAAAAAATTTAAAATACTACCAAACGGAACCAAAAATATGTTTGAGCATATATAATCATCAAGCAACAATCAAAATGAAATAAAACATGCATTCTTATGTGTATGGCCATTAATCTGGCCTCAAAGTTCTTAAAGAGGAAGGATGTTTAGAATTTGAAACCTTTACCACTGCACCATTAGTAATTGGTTATCATCAAATTATCATTTTTATTTTATCTTGTTTATATTTCGAAAAACAAAAATGAAAATTTTCGGTCGTTAATGACTCGGCTAAGATTAGACAATCTCCATAAAAAAAAAAGGATGCATCTCAAGAGATTTGATTCAATTCCATGTACTTGTATTTATCATGAAAAAAGCTTTACGCCTACTTTCAAATTAGACCAAGGCATTTCATTTTTCTAAATCACTCCAAATCAGACAAAACAATTTTTTACGGTTTCGTTTGGTTTCGCACAACAGTTTTTAGCTACAATACAAGTGATTCTTTAACAAGTGAAAACGAAAAAAAATTAGCCTAACATATATCACAATAGATAAATTGAAACATTATTAACATAAAGGTTACGGTTATAATATATTGTTATCATTATAATATTAAAAAAGCAATGAAATAATAAAAGTTTTTCAAATTCGTTCTCTGTGAAATAGAAAAGGAAATATTACTAATCCCCTTTTGTACTTCCACCACCGGAAAGAGATTATCACATTAACCTGAACCAAAGACCGTCCAATATTACAATTCAACCTCAAAACTCAGAAATCACTCAAGATTTACTGAAAACCCTCTCGAACACAAACCGCAGTTCCCTTAAGAACTATACACGAAATCAACCACCATTTACTGATGATCACTCAAGGCTTGTAGTACATGATTTCATCTAGAAGATAAAGTATCATCAATTTACAGTCGAGAGAAGCGGGTGAAAAATGACACTAAAAAGTCAGAGAGAAGGAAGACGAACAGCCCCAAAACAAATGTAATGAATAATGAATCATAACCCTAGACACCAATGACCAAGTAAATAGAAGTCACCAGAATGTAATCAATCAAACGGCTGAGGAGGCAACACTTGGCATCATCTTAGCCCACTAATAAAGCCGCATTTTAGAAACACTTAGGCTATGTTTGATTATACCAAATTTTCCATGTTCCATTTTCCATCTTTTTGGCCTTTTTCCCCCCCCAAGGAATTAGTTTTCTTGTTTTTCTTGGGAAGTAGCAATTTTCCACATTTTCATGGAGGTGAGAATTCGAATTCTAGGCATCTGGAGCGATTTTATTTTATTATTATTATTTTTTTGGCAATGTAAACAAATTCTACTCCTAATTGTAATAAAATATTTTCTTTTAATTAACAAATTTCATGTAAAACATAGTTAAACGAACACCACAATATAGATGATTTTCTTGAATTTTTTTATTGTAATGGAAACAAATTATATCCCCAATCTAGTAAATTTTATCCATTTAATTGATAATTTTCATGTAAAATAAAATCAAGCGAATACCAAAAAATACTTCTATTTTAACAATTTTCATGTAGAAAATTGTACCAAGCAAACACAATAAATTGACAATTTTCAGGAAAACAATTTCTAGATAATTCAATTCCCTAAAATTTATTTTCTTTCCACCCAAATTTCATTTTTGCAATCAAACGGACCATTAGTTTAGTTCAAAAATTGTAAGGCATCAATTAGTCAACATGTTTTTCTTCACAATTAAATCAAACTGGTCAACAGTTAACAATTCATCCATCTAGTCAGCAAATTGACTCCACATCATTGTGCCACATCTTCACAATTTTGATTGTGGTTGAATTTTCTTCATATGCAATAGCTACAAATACCAGGCAAATATTTGAAAGGGATAGATTTTCTGCCGCAGTCCATGCGGTTACAAATATTTACTTGCTGATTCTCGTGCCTAAGGATACCATCAAGAAAAATCTCATTTCTTGCATTATCTTTTAAAATCTTTCTAATACTTGTGTTGGAATTATATAAAAGTTGCCAATTAACACTTACCATCATCTCTCTTTATATATAATTTGGAAAAAAATAAGGATACATGAAAATTGGAATGGAAATTTACGTAACTGTGTATTCTGAATTGTTGCACTATAATATATGAATTACAACGAACTTCACAAGTAGATATGAGAACATTTGTATAAACCGCTAAGGAATATAAACAATCATCATTGCACTAATTAATCTACTAATACACTAATCAATAGCCAAAATAATAAATTAAATCACTAGGATTTACTTATATAATAACCGTCCAGTTAATGAGACCCCCACTAACTAACAAATTAATTCAAGCATTAAATAATGGGTGGTGGGATTGGAGGTGGTGCTCAAGGAGGAGGTGGAGGGTTTGGTGGAGGTGGAGGTGGTGGCGGAGGAATAGGTGGTAGTGGTTCTGGTTCTGGTTATGGAGCAGGATTTGGTGGTGGGATGGGAAGTGGTTCTCATGGAGGAGGTGGAGGGTTTGGAGGAGGTGGAGGTGGAGGTGGAGGAACAGGGGGTGGTTCTGGTTTTGGAGAAGGATTTGGTGGTGGATTTGGAGGTGGTGCTCAAGGAGGAGGAGGAGGTTTTGGTGGCGGAGGCGGTGGTGGAGACGGATTGGGTGGAGGATCTGGTAGTGGATTTGGATTTGGTGCAGGGTATGGTGGTGGGATAGCACAGGCAGCCGTGGAAGAATTCATGGTGTAATTAAATAAGTTTCAGTCCCTTGCATTTCCATTTCATATCTAGTGATTATTTTCATGGCTGAATTAAAAATAAACCACTAGATTGCATATGTTTGATTTTGTAATCAAATTTATTCAAGTCTTATTGTGTTGTAAGGTTGCGATTGGTTTGTTCTTATAATTTTATCAAAAACATAAAAAGTAAGTTATAGTGCACATTTTAGAAATGTGAAATTTAATATTTTTAAAGTGAAATTTTTTTTCGAGCACTTCAATACCATATTCCAAGCGAATAAACTCGTCTAGCGCCAATCCCAACTTAGTAAGTCATTTTCAACTTGTTCCTAATTCTCAATTTAGAATCAACTTTGTAACGCTCAATCTGTAGTTAAGTTTGACTAGTGCCACAGAAGATATTTGATGTTATGATGAAGAATTTGGTGTTTTATTTTTCTTTGGGTTGGAAAAAATTTAAAGTAGCCCAAAATGTGAATAAAAATATGGAGTATATATAATCATCGAGTAACAATCAAAATGAGATAAAACATGCATTCTTATGTGTATGGCTATTAGTTCTGGCCTCAAATTTCTTAGACCTGAGTCGAACTAAAAAAGATAGACTCTGAAATCGTATTCGAGCATTTAATTTAATTTAATTTTTTTCCCTTTATAATGGTTTTTAGTGAAGTATGAAAATAAATGAAAATTATAGCTGCTCATAAACACATATACAAAAATAATGCAAACAAAATTTCCTACATTTAGAAACATATTGTCATGACGGGCAGTCGTCTTCTTCAAGTATTTTGTACAATTTTCTTCGTAAAATAGTCGTGAACTCAACCAAATTTTAACAAGATTTGTGTGCAAAAAAAAAAAAAAAAAGGTTTTTTTTTTAAATTTTTTTAACCCAAATATCTTATTTTTTAACTACAGATTTTTTCAAAAGTCACTATTCAAAACTCATTTTTTCTGCAAGATGGGAATCAAATAAGGCTTGTGCTAAGTGTTTAGTATTTTTTACAAATTTTATCTTGTGCATCTCAAGAGGAAGGATGTTTAGAATTCGAACCGCCCATGGGCCAGTACGAAATGTTTACCACTACACCATTGACTACTTGTCAACAAATTATCATTTTTATTTTTATCTTGTTTATATTTCAAAAAACAAAAAATGAAAATTTTTGGCCCACAATGATTCTTGGCCTGAGGTGGTTGCTTCTTGTGCCTCGCCCTTGATCCAGTCTCATGTACTTGTAGGGGCGGATACAAATATTTTGAGTTAGAGGGACGATCAAACTTGCAAAAAAGTTGTGATGATTTTTCATTCAAAAATTTATATCCAAATTTTTTTTTTAAACCATATAAATTTTACATCCAACAATTCACATGGGCATGACTTTTTCGGATGTAAAATTTTGAAAGTTTTTGATGTCATATCCTATGTAGAATTTCCTAATAAAGTGATATAAATTATATTGAAAATTTGTATCGGAATAATAATAATTGAAATTTTTTTTAAAAAAAAATTGAATTATATGCCTCTTTTTAAGTCACATTTGATGTATCTTTGACTATTTTTGATATCTATTTGGACCATTTGATATGACAATAATGTAGTTCTCGAAATGAGCTTCGAGATGACATAGGCAATTTGTGGATTCAACTAGTGTGCGATCATTAGAGAATTTTTAAAGTTAGCATGTTATCGAAACTCTCAAAATATTAGTTTGGAATGGACTACTTTGACAAGCTGTAACATTTAGTACGGTTGGCCGTTTTGTGCGTCATTAACAATGTAGAAACTAGGCTATGACTACTTTGAAAAGATATTAAGGACGCAATATTTTAACTTCGTTTGATAACATAATGATTTCGAAAATTGAGACAAAAACATGGGGGAAAAAATGGCCCCAAAGTTGGAAAGTCATGTGACCCCATGCCCACACCTGTGTCCGTCCATATTTACTTGTTGAAATTGGTTAAGATTGCACAATCACCATGAAAAAAAGGATGCATCTAATGAAATTTGACTCAATTCCGCATACTTGATATTTGTCATTAAGAAAGGATTACACATACTTTCAAATCAGACCAAACAATTTCATTTTCTAAATTAGTCCAAATCAAGCAAAACAACTTTTTACTATTATGAAACGGGGAGGTAAATATGATACACTATGAAGTATATAATCGTATAAAGAAAACAAGATTAAAAGCAAGAAATAGATTGGCAGAGGAACATTATTTTAGTCAACAACCAACAGAGAAAAATAATACTATTACATCAATCTCAACAATATCTAAATTGAGTGAAGAGTCTACTATTTGTAGGGGACATGACAAAATCCTAGAATTAACCTAAAAGATGGAAACTAGGTAAAATATGCTTAAAATCGACAAAACGAGAAAAACTCGCATGATGCCATTGCTCGAGGTTGTCTAGCGGCAGGGAGCGTCAAGCGAGAGCTCGGGGATAGGTGGGTGATAACTTTCTACTTCAAAAGTTCGCCTATTGCTCGAGCAGCCAGCTAGCGACAAGCTAGCGAAAATGATTAATTTTTCTTCATAGTCTATAATTTTGATCTCTTGAAGACTACTACATCAAATCACGTAATCCTAAATCGAATTTGGTTCACAAGCCCAATAAATTTCTACCTAGAACTAAATTTTGATACAACGAACGAAGCCCCAAATTTTCTTTTCCAGAAAAATAAGTCCGACTGCCACAAAACAACTAAACTCTTCAACCTGAACCAAACTTCTTTAGTAACACAAAATACATTTTTCCTCTTTCACAATATCCATCACAGATACATGAACCTAAATAACGAGTTTCCCAAAATTCACACAAAATTTAGAAATAACCAAAAAGGGTTGAAGCACACCTTGTAGCAGAATCAACTCTCAATGCTTTCATCGAAAGCCCCTTGCTAGTCTCGATACCTTCAAAAATCTTAAAAGCATGCACAACCAAATCAGTGTCCCCGTACCTATCTCCAATGGGTTTGTCCCTAGCAGTTGAATACGATGGAATTGCAGACAATGTGGCAAAACGGAATTAGCTATATCCTCCAAACTCGATTGAGTAGTATTATTCAATATGAACTCAGGGTCAAATCCCAAATGTATCGTACCAAACTGAATATCAACCACAGTACTAAATCTGTGCTGACTTTTCTTCATCGAATTTTGCCCGACCTTGCAGGATGTATAATCGGGACCTTTTTCGCTCCTCCAATTCAACACAGAGATCCTTCCGAACCTTCAAGACTCCACCAACTCCAAAAAATGTGTACATCTTCGAATCCAGCGTACTCAACTAAATGAGATTATTCTTCCAAACTGGAATATGTCGAATGTGATCAAGTGTTCTATATGTTCCATCTATCAGCTTTAATTTGACTCTCTCAATACCAGCTACCCGACAAGATACGTTTTACCTATGACAAAGACGCATCGTGTTATCGTTTCATATGTCTCAAACAAATTCTGATTAGGACACATATGGAACACACAAGCTGTATCCAAAATTTACTCCTCGTCACGTTTAGATTACACGTTAGAAATCGCTAAGAGACCTCTATCACTCAAATGGTCCTCAACTATGTTGGCCTCGTCCGAAGTATTTGATTCCTTTCTATAATTTGCATGTTACCAAAATCTTTGTTCTGCAACTTTTCATAATCTCTCTTGATGTGTCCTTTTTTCTTGCAATAAAAACAAACCTAATTGTTGAAACTCGACCTCAACTTAACCCTTTGTCGATCACCATGAATTACAAGACCTTCTCCATCTCTAGACTCAGATCCAACCAGATGCTTCATCTTCTCTTTTGAGAAAAAGGCATCATACACGTTTTTAATGGTGAGAGTATCACGACTATATAAAATCATGTCCCTAAACGAACAAGCAGCGAACACAGTAGGATCAGGGCCAAATCTTCTTTATCATACTTTACCTCTAATATCTCCAAATCAATGACGATCTCCTTGAACGCAGCTAGATGATCTTCCAGAGATCCACCTTCTACGTTGCGCTGAGAGCACAACATTTGTTTTAGATGCAATTTACCCGTCAGACTTTTAGTCATGCACAATTGCTCCAACTTCATTCTCCTTCAAAATGTTCTGAAAAATATTGTTACAGAAGTAAAGATGAATTAGTAAAAGTGACTTCCGATAGTTCCGTTGTTTCTCATCCGTTGTCCAAGTTGTGGGCATCTTGTCAAATCCTAATAATATATCATTTAAATCCATCTGTACCAATACAGCTCCAATCTTCACTTGCCACAACAAAAATCTTGTATTGCTATTCAAAAGCAAAATTTCATACTTCATGGTTGCCATCGATAACAAAAACTTCAAACAAAATCACAACTATGCTCTGATACCACTTGTTATAAAACAGGGAGGCAAATATGATGCAATACAAAGTATATGATCGTACAGAGAAAACAAGATTAAAAGTAAGAAATAGATTGACAGAGGAACAATATTGTATTTAACAATTAGTGGAGAAAAATAATATTGTTATAGCAATCTCAACAATACCTAAACTGAATGAACAGTTTACTATTTATAGGAGAAATGTTAAAACCCTAGAAGTAACCTAAAAGATGAAATTTAGGTCAAAATATGCTTGAAACCGACAAAAGGAAAAAAACTCGCACAATGCCATCTAGCATTTGGTGAGAGACCGTCCCGTTGTTCGAGCAAGAGCTTGGCGACAGGCGAGCGAAAGCTTCTTGCTCCAAAAGTTTGTCTATTGCTCATGCGGCTAGCTAGTAATAGGCTAGTGAAAATGTGGCAACTTTTTTTCCTGATCCATAATTTTGATCATTCCAATATCGTTACTCCAAATCATGTAATCTTAGACCGAATTTAGATCACACACCCAACATTTACGATTTCGTTTGGTTTCAATCAACGTTTTTAGCTACAATACAAGTAACCTTTAACAAGTGAAAACCAAAAAAAATATGAGCCTAAGCCCTAACATAAACGCAACACATAAATTGAA